ATTTATTGTATTTTATTATTATTAATATATATAATAAAATTAAAAGTTGATATTAATTTTATTAATTGTTTAGTAAAAATTTTTCATATATAATAAAATTAAAAGTTGATATTAATTTTATTAATTGTTTAGTAAAAAATTTTCATGTATCATAAAAATTAAAATTAATATTAATTTTTTATATAAATTAATGCATTATTAATAATAAAAAATATAATAAATGCACTATTATTCTGTGTCTAGGATAAAAAAATCCTAAAAAAATTGTACAAGAATGTTTATGAAAATAATTAATTAAATATTTTAATTGATCAACTTATAATTAAAAAAATTTAATTAAGAGTATTTGAATAATTTTATAAAATAAATATTTTTATACTTTTTCTTACAGTTTAATATGAAAAATACTTTATAATATTTCATTTGATTTTGCTTGAATTTGATTCCTTATAATTACTTACCCCCACCAAAGGTCGTTAGCTAGACATAAATTAATTAACCACTATACCAAAAGTATTCCAGCTAGTAATTGATTAGCTTGCATCATTCCTACTATCAACATTGCATCATCCCCAGGAGGCCAAAGACCGCAGCCATGAACAAGATGAGCAACATTCCATATCCGCCAATGCAAGTTTAAGCAGAAGGAAACTGACATCGGTCAATGACATCGTCAAATACATTTCTCTTTGCTCCATTCAAAGTCAAAATTAGAAACTACCAGTTGGTTTTCACACTGGCTAGATAGCTCGTGAGTTTCAAGGAGAAGAAATTAGAAAATTGGACTGCAGCATACATAAATGGCCAGCTAGCTATATAAATATGACAGACTGCATGTTCTCCGAAGAATATATCCCCAGTCTCTTCTTAGGACCAGAAGTGTTAAGATTCCTAAATAGAGAGGAGATAAGAAACAATTTGTAAAAGTCATGTCAGTTTCACTGGAAGCTTTGGCAATGGCGGGGGCAGATCATCTTGAATGGGGGATTGATATTAAGAAGTGGGAGAACAGGGATGATGAGCTGCCACCACTGCATTTACTGGCTGATGACGAAGAAGGATTCCAGAGGTATATCAATCGTGGAATTCCCCTCTCAGTTTCCAAGCGGAATAACTTCGATTTTGGAGAGGATATACTGTTTAAGTATTGGAGAATATTGTTGGAGAGGTTGGGACAATGCTTAAGGTTAATATGTTGAGAGCAAGGTTGAAGAAGTGGATGCAGAAGGCAAGAAAAAGCTGTTTTCTGTGTATCATGCAATTTTGAAACATCTTCTGTCATACTTTCTGCATTTTATTTGCTTTATTGATTGGTTATTTGTGTTTTCGTCGTCATTGTGGGGTGAGCATTTTCATGGGGCTTGATTTATATATAGGTAGATTAATGAAGTTTACCTTTAATTTTTTTTTTTTAATGAAAATTTGGCTTAGATTTATTAATAAATTTTAGAAAATAAAAAAAGGGTATTATAAAGCCAATTAACTAAATTGTACCATATATGGAGGTGATGATATAAGCCAACATACAACACCAATGCCTGCACTACATACCTCAAATAAGACCAGTAAGAACAAGACGCAGTAAATCATCAGTGACCACTAAACATGATCACTCTATTGAAGCAATTATTCCTACGAAGTAGAAAGGCTAGTTTCTCACTTAAAAGTTTATTAGTAACCAAAAAAAGCTAACTTATTATTCTTTCATTTCAAATCCTTTCTGTTTTTTTTTTTTTTTTTATCAGCCTCAAATCTTTTCTGTTGATTTTCTTATTTGTGGTCCTCCATGTATAATGTTGATAAAAGTTAACCACAAGAAAATCTTCTCGATGCTGCAAAACTTCTAATTAGTTCATTTGTATCCTCTAGATAAGTGTTGTAAGGCTTCATTCCAAAACTCCATAAACTATGATTGATACACTTTAAAAAATTTTCTTATTTGTCCTTAAAAAGAAATATATGTATATTGTAAAGTTCAAACTATATAACAATGATTCTTGAATGGAGCAAACCCCCTAAATGTGGGGTAGTGCGCCATCCAAAGATAAGATTTGCACTCTTGGCACTGCAAACTTGTCCTTAAAAACCCTATATGTATCCTTTGATTTTTTTGATCTTCCCTCCGTTTCCTGTTAGTTTGACCATTGACTTCAAAGCCTAATGCGTACATCCTATGTTATTTATGGCTTTAGTCTAGCTAAGAACCTGGCATTACGCCATATGTTCATGAGAATATTGTTTAATGCGTACATCCTATGTCACGGCTTTAATCAGTCTAACTAACAACCTGGCATTACGCCATATGTCATGAGAATATTGATTCTTTATTTAACAAAAAAAGGAAGTCCAAGGCACTTGGGCTTAGTGGCTCGATGGCTTTAAGTTTTTTTGAAAAGTGCGTCCCCTTATGCTTTTGATTGGGTTCGAACCCCCACCCCCACATTGTATACTGTTTAAAAAAAAAAAAAAGTCCAAGGAAAATGTCTTTCTACCTTAATAGTCACATTTACCTTGTTAGAGACTTTTCATGTTAATTTAACAATGTAGGATTTCAATTTTAACTCCAAACGTTCAAAAAAAAAAAAAATCCAAGAATATTCAAAAAAAAAAAAAAAAAAAAGGGGGGGGGGGGGGGGAGGGGGAAATCTAAGAAAGACAAACCTTTCCCTATTAATCATCCAAAGTTTAATCTCAATTCCAATTTTTTATTTGAACGGAAAATTCAAAACCCCGTGAATGAATTAGGGAAGAAAAGTCAGCTTCTTCAAATCCTTTAATTTTGGGTTGCATATAAATATAAACCATATGCCTGCCATTGTTTAAGCATCACCACCTTCCTCATGAATCCAAGATCAAGCTAAGAGCAGTTATAAATTAATAGTGTCAGTTTCAATAGAAGCTTTAGCAATGGCGGACGCTGATTATGTAGAATGGGGCATAGACATGGAAGAATGGGAGCAAGGAGAGATGGAGCGGCCTCCGCCGCATTTGCTAGCTGACGAAGAAGAAAAAGAAGGAGATGAAAAGAAGATGAGAGGGAATATGAAGTACCATTGTTGTTCCAAGGTCCATTTCAACTTGCGAAGATCAGCATGTCCTTCAGAAGATGGTAAGAATGTCGCACGAGACAATGGTGGTGAGAAAAAAAGTTGGATGAGTGAGGAGGCCAATGCAATATCACTCATTCTTTCTTTTTCATTTTTTTTCCCCTTTTAGAAGTTTTGCAGATGTCAGGATCCCTCGATGTGGTCAATGGAGTGATTCATACCAATGAAAGTTTGGTCAAGTTGAACAGCTAATAAATTAGTAAAATTAAAATCCATACAAGTAAAACGCTAGCTGTCCTTTCCCTTCTCTTGCCTTGATTTTTTCCTCTTTCTCTTGTTTTCTTCTTTTCCTTGGTCATCATTGCTTCTCTCCCATCTGGCGATTAGAGTGAATGGTTAAAGATAGGAATTCTCTTTTCCATTGTGAGGTTTTTTCTCCTCTTGTAGAGATTTCTTCCTTTTTTTTTTTTGAGAATTTTTACCTTGGTTTTCTCAATATTTATTTTTGGGATTCACTTTTGTCAGAAGAGAATGACAACTTGAATATAATATTAGTTGGACTTAAAAAAATTATTATGCTTATTTTAACTATTGAAGGCATGGTTCAAGATGAGGTTACTAGATAACTTTTTTTGTTTCAATCAATTTATCTTTTATTTAGATGGATTATATTGAAATGCAACTCAATTGTTAAATCTTGAACTCGAAATTGGTTGTGACGTTCATCTCAGTGTTCAATTATTTGATTTTATGTTTTCATATATTTTTATGAATGTAATATTTTTGACATATGACCACATTTGAGTTGGTTTTGTAACCCTTATGATTTTCATATATTAATGAAACTCTATATCTCAAAAAAAAAAAAAAAGTTTGATCAAATTGACATTTATTCATTTAAAAACTTTGATTTAAAATTAAAGTTAGAAGTTTAAACCTTAACATATCAAATAACTTACCTCTAATGTACAAATGAAAAGTATATTGATTCATTTTAGAATTTGCTAAAGGGGAACACAATATTCTTTTATTTTCTTAATTATTCTTCCCAAAACACTAGCTAACTACTCCCTCTATTTCAAAATAATTATCATTTTTAAAATTTTAAATTTGTCTAAAATTAATTGTCATTTTTTTAATTTTTTAAGGTAAATAAACATTTTGTCTTTCTTTAACCCTATCATCATCTATTTACTTTAATTAATCATCCAATCAGAAAAAATCTTTTTATCTTTTATTTCTTTTTTAAGGATGTTATAGATAGTTGCAAATATTATCTCTAAATCCTTAATTTGAGAAAAAAGTAAAAAAAAATAACAATAATTTTAGGGAAATGATTTTGGGACAACCTTTTTGTATCACTTTTTTGTACAACTTGACGTGTCATTTAAATTATCGTTTCTATTAATTCATGTAAAACCTGTGATAGTGAATGCATTTACTCATTTAATGATACATGGAAGTTGTATTAAAAAGTAGTATAGAAAGATTGTTCCTATATCACCACCTATTATTTTAAGATAAAAAGAGTAATAAGATAACATAAACATGTTTTAGTGTTTCTCTTAAACTCAAGAGCATCATTCTAGGGTTTCAAAAAGACAAAAACACCCCTAATGAATTAAGGATGCATGAAGGTTCATTAATACTATTTTGTATCTTCCCCCCTACGCTAGTGCACATCTGTTCACACTAAAAAAAATAATTCTTGTAAGATAATTTTTTTATGTTAATTTTTTTTGAATTTTATATTAATTTGAAGTTAATTAGGTCAATACAAAGTGAATTGTTTACTCTTCCTAGATGATGTTAAAAGTGCATCCTAATTCCTACATCAACTTACTAAATTGAGGATTAAATTTCTTTAAGTGATGATTTTAAAATTTAAATTTTAAATTGGTACAAAAATAATACTTTATTATTAATAAATTTGACTAATTAACACTCAATTCGTTAATCCTCAAAACGTTAAACATTTTGAATCTGCATGTAGGAATTGGGATCTGCGCCCAATACGTGGCAAATACGACTATTATCTTGAATCTTACCATAGAAAACTGTAATGCATATCTTTATAATTTTCTCTTTGCTGACCATAGATCTTGTGAAAAGAAAATTAAAGCGCTCGGAATTTTCTCTTTGCTGACGCGCAGTACAAATTAATTTTTTTCCCTTAATTACTCGTGCCTAGATAGGGAGAAGTTGAAGTTTTCCTCCCAGGCAATTTATGCAGAACTGCAAATTCCAAAGTTGTCTGTTTTCTTTCCCCATGTAGACACGTAGTGTATGTATGAACGTATAGATTGTCAAAGTTAATTTCAAACTTCTAAATAAATGAATTCGAATTAATTTATTGTAGATATTTTGTTTTAATTATCTTTTATTTTCTTATTTTTAAGGGTATTTATATATTAAATAATGGTGTAATTTTCACTATTCCCATGTAATTATAATAATAGAAATAAAATTTCACCAAGTAACTACTCTTTTAATGGTTTAGTGAGTGATTGAGTCTATATTATTCATAATTTAGTAGTAATTAACTTTTGTAACTCTTATAACTTCTACTACTCTACTAGTCTATGCATACCAGGTTTGTCATTGTATAAAGGATTATTGTAATCCGTGCCTTTAGAGCAGATTAATTGTCACTGAAATTAATAAAATTTAACATTTATTTAATTGATTATCAAATTAAAATAATACATATAATATTAGTAATAATATTGGTGATAAAATTAATGTAAATTTTTATTTTTTATATTAATTAATATAAAAAAGATATATTAATTACATTTTTAATATGTATTTTTAAAAACACAAATTAGATAAATTCTTATAAAAAAAATAGAAGAATGAATAAAAGTAACAATATCTTTATGGTCTCTTTGCCACCTTTTTTTCTACATATTTCACATTATTCTTTTACTAATATTTAAAAAAAAAAATTTACAACAACTATGTATTTAAGCTCCGGCATTAATAAGTTTATATGGTCAGTTTTTCACTTTTTTGGACGGGCAAGTGGCTCGAGCCCGTGGAAGCAGGGAAGCATATGAAATTAAACCCTGCCCTGCTAAGGAACAAGTTTTTGCACAAGGGTGTTGGGTCACATGACTCGATAGATGTTTGAGAAAAATCTAATTAAAGCTAATTGATAATTGAAGGTGATTGTGAATTCTTTTCTTTTAAAAATATGTAAAGACTAAGAATTGAAATTTAAAGTTTCATTAAATTAAAAGTTAAAAACATTACATAATTTATGATTGTAAGTTCTTCTTTTACACTATGAACCTTCAAAAGATAAAATCATAAAATTTACTACTCAATCAAAACAGACAAATTTAGTTGTGAAAAGAATACATTAGTACGTATTTGCTGATGATATACACACAATTCCCTGCTTTGTGACGTATACCCCGATACCTGATAGAAAGGCAAGACTCTCTTCTGCACACTGTTCTCGTGCAGCTCAACACACCCCCACATGTTCAATTTAGTTGATTAAACGCATTAATCAGTCGAACTACCCTTAATTTAATACATAATTCATCTGACACTTCAAAAGGCCACTCTCCTAATTAAGTTTAGGCCTCTGATATTATAAGCAGGGAAACATCAGCCTTCACGGATGCAACGATTAAATTATTAATTGGCTCATAAAGTTAATAATTGCATGTGACTTCCGTGCATCTTTTAACATCAACGGACAAAGGACGGAACTGCTTCCTCCACATATATAAGTGCTTCCCTTCGACTTAATTTCGGCCATACAGCTACATCAATTACTACATTATCCGGTATATTAGGTACGCAAGTTTAAGTGTTGAAGAGAGAGCAGCAATGTCTATCGAAGCTCTAGCAATGGCAGGGGCCGATTACATAGAATGTGGCATCGACGTTGAACTCTGGGAGAACGGTGGAAAGGAGGAGCAGCCACCGGTTTATCTTCTCGCCGATAAAATCTCCGGTAGCGTTGAGGTTGAGAGGAAGGGCCGTAGCGATGAGAAGGAACGGATGGTGAAAGCCAAAATGCTCCAATGGGCTAAACTTGTTGCTTCTATGAATGAGACAGCGGTTCAGTTGAAAAGGACCCCTGGCTTTAGCTAGCCAGGTAGTTATAATTGTCATTTTGAATGAAAATATGAAGGTCTTGGATCAATATGCCATCCTTTTGAAAACCTTTAAATCAATGAAGAAGTTTTGTTAATGATGATGATGATCTCAGCTCTCTCTAGTTCAGCGTTCTCCCCACCATATTAATTTCAAACAGATCTTTAACAGGGCAATGCATGAGTAATGAATTGAAAAGCAACAAGCTGTGCCTAATTAAGCAACGTCTCAATAATTAATATAATTTGAACGTCTATGTTGAAGTGTCAGATTTAAATTTTGTAAGGAGTTGAAAAAGTTATTTTTTATTGTATATATTATCTTACGTCAGAAACAAAGAAAGCTACAAGTACAACAAAATTGACATACACTAGCTACAAATGAAACCCATAATTATATATGCATTTAAGTGTCAAGTTTTTGCTCTCTCAATTTTAAATATTTGTTGGGTTCACATGTGAACTATAATTGTCTTATATTAAAAGAAGTGATGAGAATAAGACTAATACATATATGTATTATGGAATTGGAGATTCATAATCTTAGTTGATTAGTTTTTTAAATTTAAAATAATATCGTAGATGGCACTAAAAAAAATGATTTTAAACATATATATGAAATCTGATTCAAATATTTGTTGATTAAGTCACCCCATAATATTAATGGAATGCACTTTTCTTATATTCAACTAAAAATAGTATTACTTTTTAATGATTTTGTGTTTTAAATTCAAATCTTTAAAATACTAAATAGTTTACTATAAATCTAAAAAATAAAAATCATCTTCTAAAATATATAGCAGCGTTTTATAAAATCCTATAAACACAGAAAATCTATCCTAGAAGCTTGAGACAAAGAAGCACCGAAGAGAGAGAGAAACATCACTCTCGTTGTCCTCACCCTATTACACATTTTTAAAAAACAAAGTCCAATAGAAGAATAAGAAAAAAGAATTGAAACGATTTATACCTGCATCATTGAAAGCCCTTAACTGTATATCACATGCATTCGTAGGTTAATTTGTCTTTTAAATAATATGCAAAAAGTGCTATAGAGAAGATTAAAAAAAGGAGGTAAAATTCACATGCACATACAACTTTTAGTTTACCACCTAACACCACACATTTATGCACCTCGTCGAGCTAAGTGGTAGGATTGATGCAAATTATATGTGAGAAAACAAATTTAAGCTCTTTTATTGTCAATTTAAGTGTAAATAATTTTAATGAGATTACACAATTGTTATACTTCAAGAGGAGATTTGTCCAATAGCTATAAACAAAATAGTTTACAAGTACTAGTATTAAGAGATTGTTTGCATTAACAATTTAAATGTGCCAAAAACTTAAGTAATTCAGTGGTTATCTCCTTTCACTGAAAATAAAGATCTTGAGTTCGAATCGTATGACATGCAGGTGGGATGAGAAATAGTTGCCTCTCATTATGCAACTAAGATAAAAAAAAATTAAATGTAATTGATTACTAATAATTAATATTTAATGATTAATAACGTTATTGTTTATAATTTAAAATACTTAATTCATTTGATATAAGTTAATAGTTGATAATTGTTTATAAAATTCCAAAACAAATTAACACCCCCTAATTCATTGAAAAAACAAGTGTTAGTATTAGTCGGGTCAAAATCCCACATGCTACATTATTGGAAGCAGAAATGATATAATTATAATGTTGCGTAATGTTATAAATTTATAACATAATATATCGTTATATAATTAGTTCTTTTCACTTAATGATCTATCTGTAATATTATATGCATCAACTCATTTAATGATACATTACACTCATTTAATAACAATTATATATATATGATTGTAAATTTACAATATTATATAACATTATAACTATAACATTGTCATAATAGAAGTGCAAGAAGGCCACTAAATTGCAAAATCTTAGTAGTTAAGGTGGTTTTATCACTAGTATAATTTTTATACCCTCATGGGCCATGGCAGGTCTGTGTTCCCCCTCCTTGTTCTCCTTTCTCCTCAGGTTTGAAACACTTGTTCTAATAATATGAGTAGAAATTCATTTATATATAAATTTTTTTATATTATACTTATTTAAAATTTTAACTATTTATTTTTTTATTTTTAATGACGAAGATTTATTATGATTTTTTAATGAAAAAATAATTATTTTAATAAATATAAATAAATTTTTACTATTAAAAATAAAAAAATAAATTATTAAAATTTTATATAAATGTAATATATAAATGAATCCTTACGCTCTTTCTATATATATATAAAAAGAAGGTGAATAGACTCTCTGGTGCCACACACAGCCACCTGTGGGATTCTTCTCCATAGAAATCAAGCAAAGGCTTGGCCCATCACTTACAAATAGCCTATGGTGTGTATATGCCATATTATTCTTAGAAGCTGCAAAAATTACTTATAATGTCGATTGAGGCTCTAGCAATGGCGGGTGTGGATTATATCAAGTCCGGCATCGACCTGGAGGAGGTAGAGCGAGGAGACGAGGAGAAGACGGCGCCACAGCATCTCTTGGCGGTGGAGCACAAGGCCGGGCAAGTTGTTACGGTAAAGAGCGATGAGAAATGGCAGGTGGACGCAACAATAGGAGCATGTGCCGAATCGGTTGCTTCCTCAGCGGAGAAGTCGGAGACTTCAATATAGAAAGATCGCTGTGTTCGATAGATGTGGTTGCCTCTTGTGCAATAATAAGAAACGAAAATACTATAGAATTTTTTCTATGGTATACCATATAATATTTTTAAAGTAAAATAATTTGTACATTATGATTATGATATTGTTGTTTTAATTAGTAGTTAAACATTTTATTAGAAGTCTCAAATTTTGTTTTTGATATTAAAATATTTAAATTTAAATTTTAAAAGAAATAAAATATATAGTTTAGAAAGGAGACAATTGTTGTTGGGGAAGTTTTTTAAAGAGAACTTAGAGAAGAAAAGGAGAAACACCCAGTGTTCCCTCTTTGCATGATGTAAAACCAATTTAATTCCATTGATGTTATATACGCTATTTATAGTAGAAAACATATAACATAAATAAAGTAGTGTTTCTATTGATTAATATTCACCTAATAAAAGAAGAGCTATTTATTTTTTAATTTAAATTATAAAATAAGAATAATTAAATAATAATAAAAACTTGCGACCATCAAATTATTTAAGTGATGTAATTTAGAGCAATATAAATTATATAATATATTTTGATAAAAATATCTACCAAACATTTACAGTGAGATTTCATAAAAAAATTTGCTGCTAGAAAAGCACAATACCTTTCTGATAAAACATATCTATTAAACATTTAAAGTAAGATTTCATTCAAGAGATTTGCTTCCATTTTATAGCAACCCATACGCAGCACCCCTGTCGTTGATGATGTTGTTTTGCTGTCAAGTTGCAACCCTCATTTGCATTTAATTTTGGTAAAACCCTCAAACTTATGTCGAGTTCTTAATTAAGAGAACTTATATCTTTGTTACATTATTACCTAAAATGAATAATAATATATATGTAATAAAACAGGTGTTTCCATGAGCACCAAACGGTAAAACATTAATTATAGGCCAAAGCCCCTATTTGCACCCTCCATTTATTTTTTTTTCGCGGTCAACACCTTCTAGAATTTTTCCTCGTTATTCACACCTTCCAGAATTTTTCCTGACTATTCACACCTTCCACTTTTCAAAACCCATGAAAAACCAAATAGTTTAAGGAGTCGTCACGACACCGTTAAAAAATGCACTACATGGCACCCAAAAATTGATATGGCACATGCGGCGTTTTCTTATTCGTCAAGTTCAGATGTGGATCTGCTTTTTGATGATGTGGCTTCTTTTTTGCACACGTGGATGCCACGTGTGCAGTGAGAGTAACAAAAAATTATAATATTACCAAACAGTAACATAAATGGCATTTCTTCATTTTTTTCTTTCTCCCCTCAGCCTCGGCATCATCTTCACCATCCTCCATCTCAATGGGTTCCTCACGGGGAACTTAGATTCTGGGTTTGCACAGAACCCATTTTGGGTTCCTGCGCAGGGAACCCAAATCTAGGTTCCGAGCGAGGAACCCAGTTTCTGGGTTTCGACATTTGTTTTTTTTTTTCATTTTTTCATTTTGAATGTATTTATCTTAGTTTCCTATTTTATGCAAAGCAATTTGGAATAAGTTTTTTGTTGGAAAGGTGAGTTTTTTGCTTGGAGATTGTTTATGAACAGGTTGCCAATTTGAGTTTTTTTCGTTTTTTGTGGGAAATGAGTAGAAGATGCTTATCATATTTTTGTGCAGTATTCATTTACTTATAATTGTGTGGATGAAAATCTTAGCTTGGTAGGCATTTATGTGAAATTAGGTTCCACGAAGAACTCAAAACTTGAGTTTCGCGAGGAACCTAGGAGGATGAGGACGAGGACGAGGATGGTGAAGATGATGCCGGGAAAGAAGAAAAAGAAGAAATTAAAATTAATTATGGTTTAATTATGCCATATCATAAAAAAAAAGTCCACATTGGATTAATAAGATGACATAACGTTCATGTTACTGTTTGATGTCACGTATTATAATTTTTAATGGTTATTAACGGTGCCATGACGGTGGGTTAAAATATTGGGTTTTTCATGGGTTTTGAAAAGTGGAAGGTGTGAATATGGAGGAAAAATTCTGGAAGGTATTGACCACGGAAAAGAATTAAATGGAGGGTGCAAATAGGGGCTTTGGCCTTAATTATAAATGAGAAATGATGGAAGGTTCTTTATAATAGGTGTAAACTTCTAATACAATGATTAATATTTTACATTTTCATACAATTAAGTCTACAAAACGTTAGCGAACCGGGTCTGTGGCCCAATGGTTCACCCCCAAGCCTTAGGACTTGGGTGAGGTGGAGGTCAGGGCTTCGAGCCCTGCCATCACCGTGAACTCCATCAACTTACGGCCTAATGGCCGCGCACCTCATTTGAGGGGTGGAATGTTCATTATTCTGGAAATCTCAGTTGCTAATGACTAACTCATACTAACTTTCTAATCATTACCCTAATTAAAAAAAAGTCTACAAAACGCTAAACTCTATATAAGATGTACTCTTGAATAAAAGTTCAAATTATTTTTTATTAATAAGAAAAGAAAAAAAAAAAAGACAATCAATAAGAACTCAAAACTTATACTTTTTTTTAAAATAAATGTCATTTTTTATTTTAAATTTATTTTAAATTAATTATAATTTTTTATTTTTTAACATAAACAAATATTTTTTTTCTTGTTTTAATTCTATTATTATTTATTCACCTTAATTAATTATTTAATTACAAAAAGTTTTTTATTTTTTTATTTTTTTAAAAATCTTATAAATAAATACAAATATTATTCTTAAATCCTTAATTTATAATAAAAATAAAGAAACAATTATTTTGAGAAATGGAATACATGATTCCACCTTTCCCCTGAGTAGCGAACAGGGGAAAGCAACATTTTCTCATGGGCACTTACTCATTACCTGCCCAAGAACAAGCGGGGTTTTCCTATGAATAATCAGCCTTCCACCTTCTTCCATGCTAAAATCATCCTTCGTCATTTCCCCAGGTAGCTTCCAATCAAAGCAGGAGAGAAGGTTGGCGAGAGCAAACTAGACATTTTTGGCTCCCAAGGCATAGCCTGCAGGGCACCCTCGTCGCCATGCTCCAAATTGCAGCAGGTCAAAACCCGATTGTTTGCCGTTAGTATCACTGTCTTCGAATCTCTCCGGACAAAATTCATCTGGGTTTCTCCAAGAATTTGGATCTCTGCCAATGGCAAATGCAATAACAAAAACTCTTGTACCAGGGAAGACATCGTATCCACCAATTTTACATTGGCCACTTGTCTCATAAGGAAGTAACAGCCTAACAGGGGAAATGCTGGATGTAGCCTAAAGGTTTCTTTAACCACCATTTTTAGGTACTTGAGCTTTGCAACATCATCATCATCCAACTTTGATTTCTTTCCGATGCAACTTCTTATTTCGGATTGGACCTTCTTCATGACTCTTGGATTCTTGATCAACTCTGACATTGCCCATAATATTGCCCATAAACAGTACTGTTGATCCCGCCAAGAAATGCGTCCGGAAATGATTAAAAAGAAAAGATGAAGGTTGGTACCTAGACAGATATAGGCAGTCATGAATTTATAGACATGCTCCATTCTGAATGTACCAAGACAACTCCCTTGACATGATGATCTCTTGTCATACTGAAACCGGTACTCTGTTCTTCCTTTAGCTTAATCAAGAAATCGACAAAATCTTCCTACTCGGGTTTAGGCCTGGCAGGATCAAGATGCTTCTCAAGCACTAATTCGAAGAATTGGTCGAGCTTTTGAAAACTCTTCTCACGCCTAGCAATGACCCCTATCAAAGCATCTACAAACCGCCCTACTACTGAAGGGAATAAGTCCTCCACAGATAAGTCGGACACCATGTTCATGACATCAGTAATCACAGTTTGAATTTCTTCACTCTTGAATAGGTTTGTTCCATACATGTTTCCGAAGGCAACAGTGCCGATGATTCCAACTGCCAGAGAAAACATATTCTGGTCTAGACTGACTGGCATTGCGGGATCTTGAGACACAGTGGAAATCAATTTATCAATCTGAGCCTCCCTTGCATATGCAAAAGATTTTACTCTTATGCTCACAAGCTCAGAAATAAAGATGGCCCGCATTTCCTTCCAGTAATGTCCGTTTGGGGCAAATGATATGTTTGGATAGTTGTAGGAGAGTTTCTTTACTGCAGGAGAAGGTGGCCGGTTACAACAATCCAAGTCATGAGTTTTCAGGAGATCTTTTGCTGCTTCGGCTGAGGAGACTACAAGAGTAGGTCTGCTACCTAGTTGTAGTAGCATGACAGGGCCATGTTTTTGGGACAGTTTTTGGAGTGATTGGTGAGGCAGATGCCCCAGTTGATGCAAGTTGCCTATAATGGGGAGTTTTGGGGGACTTGGAGGGAGATTGAAACCTTTCAATGATTTTTCCTTGTTCTTGAGAAGAAGGAAGAAAAGGATTGGGAGGAAGAGGAGGAAAAACAGGACTGACATTATGAATTAGTTCTTTCCTGGCCAAAAGATTGGTGGATTGCCTCAGGACAATACAAAGACACCTAATAACACTCAAAGCATACCAACCACACATATTAAATGAGGCAACAAATTCTAAACTAGTAACCATCCATTTATACACAATTTTTAAGCACATCACTAATGAAAAATATTAATAATTTATCTCTCCATTATCAATTATTAAAATTTATCTTTTTTTTATTTATCAAAAAACAGTTATTTTTAAAAAGAATTTTTTAATCTATGTCTTAAGACTCATTAATTACAATATTTGTAATTAATTTTACACAAAATTTTATATTATGTAATTGAAATCAGTAAAAAAATATAAATCTTGTATAAAAATTGATGCAAAATTAATTACATACACCATAATTAGATATCATAATTAATGAGGTTGTATAATGTTAGAAAATCTCTTTTTAAAAATAAGATAAAAAGACAATTAATGATTGTAATGTTGCCTATGGAATGAAAGGGTGCATTGAAGATCGTAGCTAGAGATGGCAATTTCCTCCACAAACCGCAGAGTTTCGTGGATATCCCCGCCATGGGGATGGAAATTTTGAGAATAGTCTTTCTCATAGGGTGAGGATAGAGGTATTTTTTTCCCGTGAAATTTCGTGGAGAATTTCTTTCGTCTCGTGGGGAACCGTGAAAATCCATATAAAATAAAAAATAAATAAATTTATTTCTATGTTTTTTTAAATATATTAACAATTGATTTTTACTTACTCAACCTAATTAATTGATCAATCCTTTTTCTTTTTTTTTTCAGTTTTTCCAAACCCAATTATATAGTCCAGTCCAGCCTAACCCATAATCTTCTTAAACTTAATTGCCCAAAGCCAGCCCAATTTACTAATAACCCTAGAACTAGAAGGACTATTTCAAATTTTTGAGATTTGCGAATCTGCTCTACGATTCCTCCTCTCCAGACTCTAGACTCCAGACTCCAGACTCCAGTCTCCTCTCCTCTACGTTGTAGCTCACTGGCTTTGTTTATGTTCTTCAATCAATCAATTCCCTTCAACCTATCATTCTCGGCAACCTTCAAAAGGCAGTGCCTATAGCTTTGTTTCTATTCTTCAATCGGCTACTTGCAGTTTGTCTGAGCCTAAGTTATGAGTATTTATGAGTATCTGAGTACTTGTGCTTAATGATTTATTTTGAGGTGGAGCAGATCTCATTTTTTTGGCCTTATTATTTCCGATTTCATTTTCCCTCCAATTGTTTGCAAGATTGTCATAATGCGATTTTTGTTGTTTACATGCCTGCACAGCTTCTTTCACACATTCGCAGTGAACGATAATTATATTGTTATTTTGAGGCTCATTCAAACTCTTAATTCATTCTATTTTCAATTAATTTATCAAATGAGAAATGAGCATCGAGTTTTATTTGGTGGGGACTCCGAATACCCATTAAGACCTATCATTCCTCGCAGATATGGGAACGGAGGCTATTTTTGATCCTTTGCCAAAAATCCCCGTGGGAATCCCCGTACCCATCATTGATGGGGATGGGGATGGAAAGGAGATTCCCGCCCCTGTGAGAACCCGTTGCCATTCCTAATCATAGCTGAGAGCTCTTTTTTATAGTTGTACAATGTTTTTAAACATATATAAGTTTAGTAATTTTTTTTGAATTATTTTTTTCAAAAGTTATAAAAAGTTACAACAAATTTGTAGTAATTATATATAAAAAACTAAAAATTTCATTTTGAAGTTTCCTGGCCATGCTTTCATAGACAACCTAATAT